ACCAAGGTGGTATCGGTGGCAGCATCCACAGGTGAGGGCTGCACTTATGCCCTGACATAAGTGTGCATGGGCACCTGAACATGCTGCAGTGCTGCCAGAGCAGGAGTCCCTTAAAGTACATTTCTACACACATCTGTAATTTTACATTTGTGGAAAACATATTATCAACAACTTGAGGTAGTGGACAAACACAGATAAAGGGAAATGTCCCATGAGGCATGAAAACCAGTTAGCTGCACCAAAGAGTTTGGTTCAAGTACAAATCGCTCTACTAAGTGTTAAATAACTTACAGGTGAGTCAGGTCTCGAAGGCCACGAAATGCATTTCTTGAAATGGTTTGAATTTTGTTTCCTTCAATGAATCTATCCAAAAAAAAAAAAAAAGTACTTAAAAAAGATTTTAATTAGCACTATTATTAGTATCAGTGGTATTTTAACCTATGGCCTCCAAGCTCAGCAGGTTCCTGGCAGCCCCTTCAGACTTCAAACTGAGGAAGACTTGGTGGGGTCACTCACATTCCCTTTTCCCCTTTCCTCTGGCAAAACACAAGGAAGGATGCAGGTACCAGGCAGTACAAGAGAGAGCACATGAGAGAAAGATCCACCAGAAGAACAAAATGAACAAACCAAAAAAGCAAAGAAAGAAAGAAAAAGCATTACTACTCTACTACTTAATCTTCCTATACAGTTTGGTGTGTGAGGAAAGAGACCTGGGGAGCAAAAGCTTCTGATATGGATTTAGATGGACCTAAAGTCCTACCTTCCTTTCACAAGTTGCCAAATTTTAAAATCAGGGCAGCCCAGAGGTGTAAGGTCATCTTCACGGGCTGCAGATGACTCTGCTCAGGGAAGCTCGTGCTTGGGCAATACTGACGGTGCCTGGGCTACTGCACAGCGTGTGCGTCACCGTAGCCATAAAGCCAGCGGGCTCCCAGGCCACTGCCACTGTAGCGATGTGCAGTCTGGAATCCCACATATCCCAAAGAGCGGAAAATGGCCACATCTGTAAGAGCACCATCAGCTTGGCCAAGCAGGCTGGCAAGGCAGCCCGGCAACCACCAAGATATATCATGGCACAGGTGTACCTGGATGCAGAAAACCACACAATTACTTTAAAAAAGTTTTAGGGGATGGAAGTGTCTCCTTCGTTTGCCTTCCAGGGAAACGGAGGTAAAAGTGTAAGCCCACATCTCTCCTTCAGCGAGCCAAGGTGGGGAGAAGCCCTCACAGGGATGCAGGAGATGAAGTTAGTCTTAGTCTGTAGGGCACCCCGAGTGCTGCTCTTACTGCCCTAGCTGTGGTGTGACGCTGTGCCAACAGCTGCTGCTATGGGAATGCCG